GAAGAAGTATATTTTAGAAGGATTGACTTCAAATAAAAAGAGGTTTTTAGCAGAGATCCTTTGGAGGATATAGAGTATTTTAATTTTCTTTTTTCTTTTCATTTTTATGTAGTGCATTTGTACATTTTTAGATATTCCTCTTTTTTTTTATTTTTCTTTTTCCCTTTTATAGTTTCTCAAATTTAGTTTCTTGGAGGATAATAAGTAGTGATAACTTGCTGGCAATTATAAGTAAGTTAAGAGGGTCTTTATCCAAAACTTAGTTCAGAATAAAATATTGTTCTCAAGATTACATTTAGAGACTAAAGTTCTTTTGAGAATTGAAAGTCATTGACGAGTGTGTCAGTACAAGTCTTTTAGTTTAATTATGATGCAATTGCCCTATATATCTTTATTGGTTTTCATATTGATTAATAAATACACAGTACTAGCCTGACTACAGATTTTAAAAAAAATAAAATAAAAAGATATTTTTTAGCAAAATATTTTATACTAAATAATTTTAATATAAATTATAATTATTTATAGTTAAAAAATTTGTTGAAATATTTTAATAAATATTTAAAATCAATTCAAGTATTTTAATTGACTCATAAATAATATCATTATAATTTCTATTTTTATAATATAACACTATCAAAAAAGGTTTATTAAATTAGGCATATAATTTAAAAGAGATTTTAAAATATAAATAAGAAAAAGAGATAAAAAAGGATAAACAATAAATAATTAAATGTAAAAAACAAAAAATTACCAAATATAAGAAATAATTAATGTATTCAAAGGATAAGAAACAATTAAAAAAAAGTGTACAAATAGATAAAATTCAAAAAGTAATTAAAAGATTAGAAAAAAAAAGTGAAAAATCCTGAAAAACATTTGACAAAATAAAATCAATTGGAACTAGTTTCAAAAGAGGCAAATTGAAATCTTTTTTAAAAGAAAAAGAAATAGAAAAAAAGAAAAAAAAGGAAAAAAAAGAAGAAATTAACAAATAGTTTAGTCAATTTTTTTTTAATAAGCTCATACTTAATCATTATTTGATTTCAAATTATATATATACATTATACAAAGCATATGTATAGATGTGTATATTTAAAAAAGATAAATAAAGAATTCAATAAATTAAAGCTATTTTGAAACCTATTGTCTTTTCTTTTTACAAAAAAAAACTAGTATCTTTTTGAACATACTAATGTCATTGAAAATGAAAAAAAAATAAAAGAAAAATTAAATGATTATATAATATACTAAAATAGTATTAGTCATGCTTCCTAATATATACACATCCTGATTCAATTTTCTTTTCTGAAATGATCTGAGGGAAAGTTTCTATTGAGTATTTACAAAAATAAAATAAAAATAGTAAGAAAAACTTTACAGTTTTGAGGCTTATAAGAAGAAAGTATTTAGAAAGGCCAGATATATATTAGTATTCACATAAATAACTTGAGAGTCTTCCAGTATATTATCAATTAAACCCATTTCTATCTAAATATAAAAATACTTACTTATCTATATAATGTATTTCAGATTTAATTCCTTAAAAAATAATTGCATCTAGCCTCATAATTGATATATCCTACTAGTGGTTATTGATGTTAGTGATTAATAAGAATCTTTCAGATTATCCAATCAGCTTGCACATCATTGATTACATTTTTGGACTCAAGTTTTGATTGATATAGTGATATTAACCCTCCAGTCTTTTAGCTTAAGGTTTTTTGAAAATAGGATAAAAACTTCCTAATTTACTATGCACATTAGCTTTGTTATTGAATGTTTCTATTTATTTTCTTTGCTTTTTCTAGTTGGACTTTTTCAAACAGTAGAAGTTAAAATCTATCTAATATATAATCAGAAGTAGATGACTCTGATTTTCAAAAAGATAATTGAGCTATTGTGACTTTTACCATGTTGGATAGACTCTTACTAATATCTATAGATATATTGACGATATATCTTATATCTATCCATACTATAGATATAGAACTTATAATAAATTCCAGGTTCTTATAGAACTGAGAAAAACTATTTAACATATGAGGTGATCAATGTAAGTTTGTTTATATTCTTTTATTGACATGATTCTACTGAATCAATCAACTTTGTATTATTTAAAATTTAGGATCAAGCTAAGATAGATAAAATTCACTAGAAAAGACTAAGAAAAAGTACTATTAGAGTCTACAATGTGAAGGAAAAAGTGAAAAATGAGCTCTCTTACTATAGGACAACTCTGTGATATTTCTCTATATATCAGATAGGTAGTGAAGTATCATTTCTTCTTCCTTTCAGAACTTTTTTACCATTGGTAAGAAAGGTATCTTTCAGACTTTTGATCACAGAAGTCTAGTTTTTGTTTGAAGAGAAATATTAATAATATAGAGAGGGAGTATGAATGACTCTTAAAGTACTCATCAAGTTGGTTTAAGGAAAGTGATAAGACTTTATTAATCAAGAAGTACAGTGATTTTTTATGAATGTCTATTTTGTATATAGTCAAAGAATTAGTAGAAAGAGTTTGTAATGATAGTTTAATTAATTGATTTTATAATTTTTTTATATTTTTTAATAAATTTCATAAATTTGTTAAATTTTCTAAATATTTACTAGATTTATAACTTTTGTTAAATTTTTTATTATTATGCAATTTTTTTTTGTTGAATTTTTTATTACAATATTAATTTTTTGTTAAATTTTTTTGTTACAGTATACAAAAATTTTTTTTTGTCTCAATATGTAAATTTTTTATACTATATATTAAATTTTTTCTACAATATTGATAAATTTTATATTAAATTTTTTTGCTATAAAATCTATTTGTTAATTATTTGTCAATTATTTGTCAATATTTTTAATACTGAGTAATAACAATTAAAAATAATTTATCAATGTTTTTATTATTAGATTTAATCAAATTTAATAATAATTCAATTGCAAATAAATAATTTGAATTATTATAATATAATTAAAAATATTTTTCCTTTCTTATTTAATATATAATCTAGTTTGATTAAGAAGAAAATATATTATATTCTTGTTTAATAATTAAAAATAGATTTCTAAAGAGAGAGACAAAGATAAAAGTTAAATCCTTTTTATTAGAAAATATTAAAATTCTTAAGTTAATAACTATAAAAAAAACTATTTAAAGTAGTTTTTTATTAAATTTATAATATTTTTTGAATTTGTTATTATTAAAGTGAAAAGTTATAAATTTTGTTTTTCAAAAGAAACACAAGTAATTTATAGAATTTTATATATTAAATATTTCAAGAATCTATTATTAATAATGACCTATTACTAAAATATAATTTTTTATAGGATTTTTTGTAAAAAAATTTCAATGCAATATTATTATATAAAGATTTAATAGTTATAAAATAGACTTTCAATTTTGAAGAAATAAAATATTTATTGATTTTAAAAATATTATATTTAATATTTTTTAATCTGCTTTAATAAAATCAAAATAAATTTTATTAATCATTTAATTATAAAAAATATAAGAAAAAAAATATAAATGTACCTCAAATTAAATTAATTTATGATTTATTATTTGATCAAAGACAATAAATACTTTGATAAATTTGTATATATATAATTATTAATTAGAAGTTTTTTCAAACTATTCATTTTTACTAACTCTTGTTATTATTAAATAATTGTTAGAGAAAAGTTGTAAAAGTCATTAATATATAATAAATATATTAATTTATTTCTATATCATATAAAAATCATATATACAGTATATATACAATATAAAGAAAACTTTAAAAAATCATGTGACACAAAATATAGAGAGTATGTATATACTACTAACTTCTAAGCTTAGAAATAGAACTTAGTGTGCATGTATAAAGATATGCATATATGAAGATCATATATATAGAGAATTCACTGTAATCAATTAAATATTAAATATAAAATAAAATCATCTAATCATTGTTTACTTTTCCCAATTATTTAATAATATACTGCATTATTGAAAAACCAACCTATTGAAATGAATTAATAGAATAATTTACATTTGATAGCCATCCTTAAGTTTCTATCCATATTACTAATTTACAAAAAGAAAATTGAATACAAAGCGCAATATCTGTGTGCAACTATTGTGTACATTAAAACTAATGAAGATTTGGTATTTTTTTTTTTTTTTTTAAAAAAAAATAATTATTAAAAATTATTACTTCAATTTGTTATACTACAAAAAATTAATATATTGCTTGCTCAATTAGAATTACGATATTAAAAATACTTGTGCTCATCAATACAATTTCATGATGTCATGTGATTTTCTCTAATTTATTATTTGAAAACAACTTTTCTGAAATCCAACTGGTCACCCAATATGCCGCATACATCATCTCCAATGAGATGAAACCAACCGCGCACTCGCCAATGAATCCACCAAACAGTCCATTGTAAAAAGAGCCAATCCCCTCTTCAACAATCATACGTCGAACACAATTCCAAAAGCCGGAATAACGGGTGTATCGGAGGCCACGCATATCGTATCCCTGTATCATAAGTCTGTCCACTACAGTTTCTAATGGGTATGTGACGAATTTGGCTACCAGATAACTCCCAATGGCACAAGCAAGTTCGGGGAAGAATTCGTTCAGCATCGCTTCTTTCTTTGCTTCAGACTTTTTCGGTGACACGCGACCATATAACTTTTGGTAAGTTGCTATCTGAACCGTTTCGAAGATAAAATGGCAAGTATAAGCTGGTATCAACGTGGACCACCAGCCAAGTCCATTTCGCCTCTTCTTTGAAAATAACTCAACCAGGGTTCGTTTATAATTATTGTAGAATACGATGGGGTCCTGAGCGTCAAATCGACTATCTACCATTCGAAGAATTGAGTGGCGAAGGATAGGATACATTGGAGTGAATAACATGAAATCGAACCTAATTTCTTACACAAGTAAGTTAAGAACTTTGTAACCATTCAAATTGATAAAACCAAACAAATTTAATTGACGCGTTACCCCTTCAACACGATGTAAGTGGTCATCCTTGCTGATTTTCTGTTTTGACGTTCAGCGATTCGATCATAGGCAATCTCAAGGCTCGATTCGTACATCACCATTAAAGTTTGACAGGCTATCCTTGTAATGAAACCATTCCATAGGTGATCAAAGCCTTTGCGCTTTCCGGTATGAAGAAGATATTTCCAGTATGCAAGTAATGTGTCTTGTTGCGGTGTATCATGGAGACCGCTCTGATACATAAAGGGGAAAACCTAAAGAAAGCTTAAATGGTTTAACCATGAGTTGATAAAATAAAATACTTTGGATCCCATACTTGATGCCTAGTGCGTAATGCCCACAATGGGTAGCCAAAAAGATATTGCGAGGATAATCCAGTAACAGCTAGACTTAAACCGCATAAACTTTCGACTAATTCTAATACATAAAAGAATTAATTGGGTGCCATATTTTTAACCTATTCGTTTGTATTCACCTCTGTTTGGACTCGGTTGCTTGTAGTTGGCAATCGTCTGCAAGATTTGATTCTGGGCGTTTAACAACGTTTCGTCGCTTTGAGCTCTATTCGGATCGTATATCAAGTCCGAGACACGTTCAGCTGATTCATCCTCGTCCTCGCGTTCCGTCGCATTCGTCGTTTCCACCCTAGTTCCTTCTGTATAACTTATTTCTTGTCCAAGTGCTAAATGCCAGACATACTGCATGAGACCCATTTTGAAGATATTCACCGATATACGGTATCTTCATTTTTATCGCTATTTATTATAGACAAATTGCTTCTATTCTATTTTTAATAAAAATATAGTAGAGCTTGCCTATAGTAACCTTATAGTAGCTTGTCCCGTATATAAGAATAAGAATATACTTTTATAAAAAAATATTTTATTGATTATTATTTATTTATCACTTGTCAAAAAAAATTTTTTTATTTATTATATACAGCATATACAATATACTGTATATATTAATTTTTAAAAATTCATTTGCAGAAAAACTTTGAGTTAAAAAAAAAAAAATGCTTGTTAAATTTATTTACAAGTTTATGTAACATGAATTTTAGTATGATTTATTTAAAATTATTTGTTTTTATTTGTCACCTCTATTAAGGATACTTATCTCGTTTATTGTCTTCAAGCAATTTTAGTTAATAACTTAAGTTTTTAAGTCTAAATTCGGCTAATCAAAACAATATGATATAGTAAGAGGATTCCCATTAAAAATGAGGCAAAACCATGCCCATCGTTTTTTTTCGACCCGTCTTTAATTTATGAAGAATTGCTCTTTCGAATTCATTATATTTCACATCCTTTCATGAATCAATCTGTCGATCCTTTCATAATGATTGGAATTAAGTCGTACGTAACTCATATGCGGCATAAATGCTTCGATGAGTTCATATAAGGCATCTTTCAACACTGTTGGATGATTAATGGAATGAATTAGTAGGAGTAGATAAAGAGCAATTCTCTCGAAAGGAGACGCACCATTTATAACGATTAACGGGTCCGCTAAAACTTTTGAGGATGTCGGTGAAAAAGGATCACCCATGTCCCAATCATCCAAAGGAGGTTCTTCGGCATATCTTTCTAATGACAACAAACAATCAATAATTGCCCCGAAGACGTTGGAAATATCATTCTGCACTATTCCATGTTCGTCTTCACTCAACGACTTTCTAGTTAACGTTGCTAAAGCTGCAGAATCTGGCGTCAGTAAATGTGTCACTTTTTCAGTAGGCAACGTATCTTCAGAATAATACCTTGTATAGCATATATCGTAATATATAGGTCTTTACACAAATCTCTCGTCCGCCGCTCAACAGATCTTTTCAAGAATGGAACCGCGATGTAACAATACACCTTTCTCACAAATAAAGGATAACTTCCCGCCGTCGGATGAAACCACTCTAGTGATTTCATCTCCCAATATTCACGATCTTTTGTCATGGTCTCGGCAGTTACCCCGACCTCGAGACTCTTCTTTGCCTTTTTTACTTGATGCTTTTGCTTACGACTAGCCTCAATGAGCTTTTTAAACAACTCGTATTTATTCCTCAGCATTACTTTTCTTTGTTGTTGTGCCTTAATCCCATCCTGTGCAGATCGAGCAAGCCCCAATATGAAGTCCATGCACACACGTGAAATCTCGGCCCATGCGGAGGTGGGATTATTGTGTGACGCGCAGTTGAACGGTACTTTGCGATTAAAATCTGCGTATATTGCTTTACGTCGGTTGTGATCAAAATTAGATATACGCCACAATTCTAAGAATGCAATTTGCTAGGTAACACATTGACACATGGTTAATTAAGATTGCATGTCTCGGATTATGGTTGATACGATAAAATTAAATGATACCTGGTAATACGGTTGTTGGTATGCGTGTAGACCATCCACAAGCATAGCATGAGGATCCATGAACACATCAATTATAGAAAGAGTCTACAATAGTTAAAGAAAAATCTGCGTTACTTAACTATTGAAATAGGATAAAGTGGTTATGGATGGAAAATAAATCATGCGAACCCGAGTGAAAAAATGGTCAAACAAAAGGTTGGTCGTAAGCCAATACATTACGGTAAAGATCGAACAAAAAATTGTTCGATTAAATAACTGCACATCAAACCATGACGCACGTAACCAATAATGATTAACAGTATTTCTGGAATTTATGATACAACATGTTAAACTAGAACGCGTTGTAAATCACACATAAAGAAAGGAATATTCACCGAAATGGAAATGCGTAAGGTAAATAATCAAAGAAGGTGTTCCACGTCAATAACTTCACAATCCAGAATGCAGCACTTAGATTCAAGGCTGTCACGGTTATGTTCCGAATCAATTCATGTTTTTTACGATTCCATATCGTCAAAAGTTCTTTGTACAAGGAAAGCATATATCGTGGCTATTTAAATTGATAATTAACACGTGATTCATTCCAAGAAAGTCCTAATTAAATTTTAAAAAAAAAAAACTTAATGTATTCTTCTTACAGGCTCTCCCCAAGTAAATTACCTCGACTATATGGAACATCAGCATGTGTCTTTTGCGTATCAAATAATCTAATCCGAATAAGAGTCCCAAAGTGCAATTATGAACAGTCGCAATCACATAATGTTCATTGATCATTGGGGGCAAACTTCTGCAATTATCCTTTCTATGGGTTGGACACCAAAATCTACCATTTGTCGGATGTAGTTAAGAAGCTATCGTTAAATAGGTCAATCCAATCCACTACATAGACAAATCTTACCCTGGATCTCCCGGACGCAATATTACTTTTTTGGATCGGTTGTAGCTTCCATTTATCATATCATAATATGAAGACCCTATCGACAATGCGGACACGATGTATATCAAAGGAACTATGTAGGCGCGTTTTTTCGATAGCAAATCCTTCAATTCTTCGATCAGACTGGGTGCCGTAACTCGACGAACTACAAAACAACAATTGTGAAGTTAGAATCATGAGCACTTTCGAGATTGGACGGGTAGAAAAAAAAATAAAATAAAATAAAAATAAAATAAAATAAAATAAATAGGTTGGTTGTAAATACTTGATTCTTGAATGAGCGCTTTGCGGAGTCCCATAACCGGCAATAGGCCAATGACGTATATTTTGATAAAAGCGTAGGTCGTATCGAGTAGAAAATGAATAGCTGAATTTTTTTCTTGGAAACACGAATCTATTAAGCAGAAACATACGCAACAAAGACGCGTAAGTTCATTTTTCATTCATTGGTTAAGCAGTGACAGGGCGTTCATGATATCAACCTCGACGTTGGAGCGCGGAAATTCCTAGCCAAAATACGACGAGCGTCGTGTATACGAAGCCAGCCGTCACACCCAAGTACAATTTCTGTATTTTAATTAACTCGGTAGAGCCGCATGCAAAGCCATATGCCGAACCTTGCGTTATGGAACTCATTTTAACAATGCTATTTGGTTTTTGGACGAAACGAGTTATGGCGAAGACAGGTATGAGTCGGGTAATACGTAACTAGGTGTAATTCTATTGTTGTACTATATATTCACGTGACAACCTGATCGAACTTTTACAGGCGGGCGGGTCATTTTCACAATAATAAAAAAAGAAGAATTTTTTGCCATGCAAGTATTAATGATGGTCGCGTTGAAACAGTTAATAAAAAGCTAATTCTCGCGTCTATCAAATAGGGGTCGTTATGTCCAACTCGTCATGGGACCTGCAGGTTCCGGAAAGGTTAGCACATGGAAGTTGTGAATTCGTCTCAATTGCAAAATTTGTACCTTTTATCCATGAATCACTTTTTCTAATATATCGCGCTGCTCATTGTAGTCTACCTATTGTGCGACAGTGATGACCCATTGTCAAAATATTGGTCGTACTGTACATTTAATGAATCTTGACCCAGCAGCTGAAAAATTTGAATATGATCCAACCATAGGTACGAATCGACTATTATTTCAATCAAACCCTTCTAGGAATTGATTCGAAGCTTTATGACCGCCAAAATATTCATGGTCGCTTAAATTACGTTAGATATTCGAGATCTCATAACGTTGGAAGACGTCATGGAGGAATTACAATATGGGCCTAATGGTGGATTGATATACTGTCTTGAGTATGTTCGTGTCTGTGAAAAGCAAATTAATAGAGTGATTTTCAGTGATGATTCCAACAATAGTAAGAAATTTCTTCTACCCTAAAGATTTTTGTTGAACGATATGGATTGGCTGGAAGAAGAGCTAGGAGAATACGAGGATGATTACTTGATCATCGACTGCCCAGGTACATTGTATTCAAATGATTTAATTATTCTTTTCTCAGGCTTCTTGAATCTAAACGTAGAGTTAAACCTGAAGGTCAAATCGAATTGTACACCCATTTTCCGATAATGCGCCGGATTTGTGAATGTTTACAACGGTTAAACTTTCGAATCTGTGGTGTATATTTACTGGAAAGTCAATTCATAGAAGACAAGTCGAAATTTTTTGCTGGTGTATTAAGCGCGACTTCAGCAATGATTAATCTAGAAATACCGCATATAAACCTATTATCCAAGATGGATATAATAGGGAAAGTTAAGAAGAAGGAATTGGATAGGTACGCTTATCTTACATTACGCGATATTTTATGAAAGTACTTAAAATTCGCTCTCGCCATTTTAGATATTTCGATCCCGATCCCCTATTATTAGCCGAAGAAGCCAATAGCTCCATGAACCCAAAGTTCCACGACTTAAACCGTGCTATCGTACAATTGGTAATTTCACGCGTTAATGTCCAGGCACACGATTCCTTTTTTTTTTTTTTTTCACGCGGCTACACTAATTGCCAATACACATATATTTATCGCAGATTGATGACTATAACATGGTTAGCTTTCTTCCACTAAACATCACCGACGAAGATTCTATAACTGCGGTGATGTCGCATATCGACAATGCGTTACAATTCGAAGAAGATCAGGAACCTAAAGAGCCAAAGGTAATAATCAAATTATTAACGCCGTGTATTTTTCTCGTAACTCTAATTATCATATAACCGAATTTATTTTTAGGATGAACTCAATAATGAATTTGATGAATAAATTTAGCAAACATTTGCGTTATTTTTGACGGTTTTCTGGACCCTAGAGCTGTAGTTCCTAAAGCTAATTCAAACTTGCATTTTTGGAGATAACATCTCTTTCACCTTTAAAAATGGTTACACTATGAATACCAGAGATGCAATGAGTCATCACCATCTCATCCTCTCCAGAGTTATTGCTCATTTAGTCTTACACACCGTACGTCTACTCACAAAAGCTTACTAATGGATTCATTACTAGCAAGCGGTTGGAATGATTGATTAATGTATATTTTTATTCGAATATTAAGATTTGAATTGTCTTTTGAAATTCAATTTGAGTTTGAATTTTAGTAACCTGATTCAATACTTATTTAAAAAATCATTAATATTTTTAGTTCTGAAATAAGTAGATACATTATTTATGTATAAGTTAAAAAAATAAAAGTTTTATTTTTGCATTATCTGCAGCCAGGTTAGACTGCTTGTTTATTAATCAAAGGAATATAAAATTACTTACTTATTCATTCGAGCATGGTACATACTGTACTATAGCTAAGCATAATATCAAGTCAAACCAACTCTTTGTAGGCATTAAAAGCCTCTAAGTTTGGCCATGGGGACAATATTTCACTCCATAATGAACTTTGGGTATGCACCCTTCTAATTCACATATCACAGCTAGCAGGTTGTCAAAATAAATTATATAATTTTTTTTCTTTTTGGAAAAAATTATAGTATGTTTAATTTTATAGTATATTCACTATTATTATAACAAGTTCAACATATACACTGTATCTACAGTATAAATATCATAACCTTTTAAAATTAAATAAAGTTGACTTATCAAGGATTTTTTGCTATTGACATTATATCCATTTTATTAAATTTCTATGGTAGACAGTATAAGTTCTAATAAAGGTAAAAAGCATAATCAAGTATAGTATAGCTTACAACAGGTAAGTTTAAGGAATTTTTGAAAAAACCCAATTTACAAAGTAATGCAATTAATACTTCGCGGATTCCTATCTTAATCCTATTTTTTTTTCTTTTCGTAAATATTGGTATTGCAATAATTTTAAATTTATTTTCAAACAAATCGTATAAATTTTATTTATTCATTTTTTGGTTTCAAATAATAATAAATAATAAATGATCAATATTATCCAATATAATTAAATTTAGTGATGAAATAATCAATTTATACCTATTTATTCAAAGCAAAAAAAAAAAAAAAAACTAGCTTAAGAGACCATTGGTCAAACTTTCAAATATTAACAATTAAATTTGAAAACATTTTAGTTATCCTGTGTAAAATGAAATATACGCATGATAAAAAATACCGAATAAACCAACTTACTTATATTAATAGAAAACAAATTACTCTTTCGAATCTGTCTAATGAAATATTTTTATAGTGGTTTTGGTTATTTATTGACAATTTTACCAGTGTCGGCACTGCCTTTAGCAAGTTTAACACTATTCTCAAAATACTGATTTGGATGAGAGATAGTTTCAATAGGTTTCTTATTGTCGCTATTTTCCTCCAAATTCCTGGTGATCTCAAAGTATTTGGTACAAGCAACCTGGTAATGCTTTTCTCTCACCAGCGAAATGATGTCATTGAACTGGTCTAAATTCCTTCTCCCGTTATCGGTCACGATGACTCTTAAATTTTCCTCTGAGAAATGCCGGAATGGACAACCGTGATTGTCACCTGGGCCCGGATTATTGTTCATTATTATAGTTAAACAGCTAGAAAGTTATGAATGTTTAGTGATAAATTTTTGTAAATAGAAAGAAAATGAAAACCGCTTTTACTTTAACGGTGCGTAGTCATGACGTTTTCCTTCGAGTCCATAATTATGCCTGATATTATATGCGTATTCTTTTTGAAATGCAGCCTCATCAATCCTGGAAAAGGATTTTCTCCAGAAAACAAGAGCCTCTTCAACCGTAAGACCAATTCCCTAAGCATGATTACATACAATAAAATTTTTAAGATACTTTGGTAATGAAACACCATTGAAACTTGAGGTTACAAAATATGGATCTAGAACCTTGAGGAACAAGTTATATTGCCTTCTACCGTAATGTTTTAGATGTTTGCTGGCACGAAGACTATTGTGTAAATGTTGCATGCACAGTGGAAAATGTTCAACCAACTGAGTCGAAGAGAAAAAATTTAATGGTAAATAATTTCAACTGAACACGTCTAAAACACACCCGACATTTGCATTGCATTGAACTTACATTATCCACATCGTCGGCCGTTACTTTTCCAGCGACGGTACTATTTCCGGTGAAAGTTTTACCGAAATACTGCTTGTTTATATTATTCAAAAGTGGCATTATGCGTTCGTCATCTAAATTCGGAAATGCTTTACTAGCCAACTAAAAGGGAACCGAAAAGTTAAGTTAAATAAGCATATTCTTAGATGATGTTCTAAGAGTGACGACAGTATACATACGATGAGTGCGGCTTCAAGTTTTTTACGAAATTCGTTCAAGGCAAGGGTAACTTGTTCGAATGTTGGAACATAGGCCTTACCCCCCTTTAGGTATACCGCACGTCGTGAGATAAGCTCTGTGACTTTTTCGAAATCGACCTAATATAAGTTGATGGAAACAACATGTTGTGAAGATATATAGCGACAATTAAGGTATTCCCAAAAGCCAGTAGTAGTACCACATAGAATGTTTCCTCGGGATCCCTTGCAAATAAACTTAGTTCATCCCACATGGAATCCTTCTCGGCTTTAGTTAACTGTTTGTTAATTTTTGAAAATATAGCCAAACGTTATGCAAACTGCCTGTTGAATATTAAGGCACAGGTTATGGTAATGGACTCACACAAGGCCAGTCGAGGTTTTCGTTAACTAAGAATTCTTGCCGTTCCTTGATTGCTTCTAAAAACCGCAATCTAATTATAACACCAAATTATACAAAGAGGTCATTTAAAATCGTGATTCGTATGTCAGGTTCAAAGGTACCCCCACTCAATCTACCTGAATAGCATGCATTCATATTTCAAAAACCATTGCCTAAGTTCTTCGCTATCATTATTGATAGGTAGATAATAATTAGCTGCATTTCTATGAATAAATATTTATAGTTCGTCCTGTGGCTCTACCTTCGACAATAAGCCAATCTCAAGATAAAGTGAGAAATATGGTCTTTTCTTCTTTCTGCTTGCAAGTCGTAACCATGAATACCGTCGTTTGAGTGTAAAGGCATATATTTGTCTGCTACTTCATTCACACTTTTAACGACCTGTTCCTCCGATTTCTCACGAAGTGTTGCACCTTCAATAGCTTTTAGCACTGCGATTTTTGAACATACATGTATGTCTAGAAAGAAATTTCATTATACGCGAACAATTAATTAGAAGGAATGCATGCTACCTTGCAACCTATCCAAAGCAAAGGTTTCGAATTCTTCGATCGTGATATTCTCGAGGGGTGGATAAGTGTAAAAGTTGAGTTTGTACGGATATTTTGGTCCATGTCGCTTAACTTGTCCATACGGTTCACCCTTCTGTGCTAACTGACGTTTGCGAGAAAAAGAAAGCATTTTAACTGCTGTGATTTTAAAAAAAAGCTTCCAAGAACGCGCGAGTAGGTTACGCGTTAGATCGGCGCATTATATAATTACATAATTGAAAATCCAGCCTTTAAAAAGTAAGTGCAATTCTTTACAGCAATATATTACACTAATAATTACTGTATATCGATTTTTTAAAAAAGTCATTTATTCCATAAAATTGACTTTTCGGATAGCACGTGAAATAATCAGATCAGACAGTGTGTCTGTAAGAAACTTGGACTCTTGGAATTACCAGTATATGCAACGAGAATGACGTTATTAAAATGATACATTTAAATAATAATAAAAAATAAATATATAAAGGTTTCTTTCTCTCTATTCATAAAATGGTGTAAAATTATTCTCCGAAAAGTCGTTGCACCCGTTTCAGAACGCTGTCTTTCTCCGGATCTGAGATTCGAAAAAAAAAAAAAGATTAATCACCCTTGGATTGAATGACCTAAATAGGTGAACCGTAAATTAAAATTACCATAAGGATGATCTTTTGATGGGATCTCGAGAATGGTCGGGAAAGCCTGATCATGATCGTCTACAAGTTGACGGATAATATCGGCGACCTATTCAGAGTTTTGTGTACAGTTAGATAATCCATTTAATATGTAACAAACTAGAAAATTACTTGCATGTTGATTTATCAGGATAATAGCAATGTCTTTTCTTTTGGTGAATTCAAGAAATGTTTCTTCGATTTTTGACACGGGTGTTTCTGTGTAACGAGGAGTGTGAGTGAAGAGGAAATCAGTATTCAAATAGTGAGGTTGATCTCTCTTACTTGAATCGACAACCAAAAAATTCTTTTGAGTACTATTGACATGACCTATACCGGCCAGCAAAAGCCCTGTGACCGAATCCTTTTTATAGAATAACTTGTTAGAATGAAGTAGAGAAATGGTGCAACCCAGTTTTGAAGAGTGCAAATAGTAGTTACCTCATCGCCTATAACGGCCATGAAATTACGATCTTTAAAGGATGCTTGTGTCATGATTTTTAAAGGAGAAAACGGTATATGATTATCGTCATAAATGTTTGAAATTTGTACAACCAAATCCGGTGAAACACGTGAGAGATTAATCTAATCATAACGAAAACGAAATTTGCAGTACATCGATATGAAGGCTTCTTGGTAGCATCATAACGAGGGATTCGATTGAGATTCACTATGCCATGTCGAAAACATTTTATTTTATCGTTGTCGAATTCAATGTGCATCGTACTTGAAAGTTTTGCCTGAAGAATTAACTTAATGAATTGTGGTAGATATTTGTGGGTATTGTAGGAGAAACTCTTGTAGGGAAAACTCTTGTAGGGAAAACTCTTGTAGGGATAGCGCATTAGAAATACAGTCGTCACAAAGCAACATATAACTAAATAAATGAATATTTAAATTAAAAGACCGGAAATTGTGGTAAAATTTTTACAAGTTGCGTTTATTCTTTGATTTTTTGTGAGATTTTTTTCCACCGGTTTGCTTCACCCGTTTCGCTTCTCGGGCTGCAATATCAACTGCGATTTCGGCGGATTTACGTTTGTTGGTGAATTCTGTATTTTTAATGGTGACCACTGTTGACGTATTTTTTTTCTTTCCAGAAGATGCACCAGAAACTTGCGACTCAGCTGCTTCCCAATCTTGCGATGACCCATCTATAGCATATCTGCGAAACCAATAAATAAATAAATGTGGGACTGGCTCTATTCCCAAAGAAAAGATATCTAGAAATAGAGATGTTACTTTGAGAGATCCAATGAATTAATTAATTCTCTTTGCTTTTCTCGGACTTGTTTCATAGCATCACCACCAGCTTCTTCCAAATCATCTTCAAGTGTTTTTGGCACGGGGTCCCATGACACTTCCGCATCCTCAGCCGCGACCTCATCATCTTGCGATGTTAAATCGGTAGTGACATCTTTATCCGATTTTGTGTTCATCGCCTTATTTTTCTTTACGACGGCTGTTTCTTCTGGAACTTCCACCAACGCAGCTGTCTCCAAGGAGCGAAAATATGTAGACATCTTTCGAATAATTTTTATAAATAGCGCCAAGATTTGTGTTGAAGGTAGCGTAAGTTCTTTCTGAAAGCAAATCGAGTGATAAAAGTTAATACCAAATTACAAAGATGGAGGGCTGCGCAAATAGAGATAACCGAAAATATTTACTTCTATATCGTCAACATCCTTTCTCTGCAGACCTATGGCCAGTAATATCGAACTTTGAACACCAGAAAGTGTCACCCCTTTGCCAAATTTCCTTCTAAAATATAAATCAGCTATCGATGGAATCAAATCCAGAATGACATGATAGTCCAACATGTTATTAGCGTATGATTCGAGTCGTTTGAGGTCATAGGTCGAAAATTGTGCGTAAAGCGTATCTTTGTCAAACGCTGCGTAAAAAAAAATGCCCAAGTTCAGACGGATGTGCAATAATAATAATAATAATAATAATACAAATATGAAAAATATTATTCCACCTTGCACTCTATCCTCCACATTTTCACTCCCAGCATCAGCGGCCTCCATTATGCTCAACGCCAAAACACTGGGAAAGTCTCGAAATTTGTACGACAACAAATTTAAAAACCTTTTGTGAAAATCTTTTGAAAACGCCGATAACCATTCCGGATTACACGTTGTAACGAGGTCATCTGACTTCAACGCTTTTAACATAACGCATGTGTGCTCTCCGGTCAGCTCATTAGGCGTTTGTCGCAAGTAAAGTGGAATAAAACCAGATTTTTTCCAAAATTTATGCAAAGAGGACGTCAGGCCGTAAGAGACCCCCAAATAGTGCAATCGGTCTGGACGTTTCTCGGAAAGCTTTAAAAGAAGAGGTGGCATTTTTCGCGGATCTCGCACCTTTATCTCTTCTTTGTGAAGATCGGCATTCTAATATTTAGAAATTAAATAAATTATCGGAAATAAACCTAAGCCACATGCGTAAAGGGTAAACAAATAATGTATTAAAAAAAAAAAAAAACGCCTTACCTCCAATTCCGAATCATCAACTCTCACTACACCCTCTGCCTGGTAATTTTCGTTTTCATTCAAAAGCGAAAATTTACCTTGATAAAATTCCGCTAGCAATTCCAGACACCGTGACCCGTATCCCATCTAATGGCATGCCCCATTTTGAAATTGATGAATATACTTTTGATAGCAATAAAATACGAACACGCGTTTATGTGATTTATATATAAACCTTCATGTAGTCAGGATGTGTTGCTATCCTAACGACCCGAGCTCCCGATAAACTAGCAAAGTCATCATCTTGAAACTATTAAAAAAAAATTATATATATATACATTAGATTTTAAGAAAAAAATTTTTTAAAAAAATATACGTTTGGATTGTATCAATTTTACCTGTTGAGTAACCAACCACGGTATTAGATCTCCACTAGCGCGTGTGCCGCGTTTTAAACTACTCAAAATTCCTTGTTTGGATATTTCCCCTTCCAGGCATACCTAAATTAAGTCGTCGTTGTTTTTTTTTTTTCAATTAGTGAATGAATATTAAAAAATCCGGCAAACCTTTTTTGATTTCGCTTACCTGAATAACGCAAAGGGGATCAGGCAACGAATTGTCGCCCTCTTTTATGGGCGGTAACAGAACAAATAAATGATGCGCAGGTGCATCTGACATTAACTGCAAATCATTGGGCGAATTTTTGTAATGACTAGCGACATAAAGTGCCATCATGCGCTGTAAAAATGTCTCCGAAACCGGGTGAAAAGAGAATAGCGTGTCACGATTAACGTAATAAAGTTCACATTTCTGGGGATGTGGGCATCCTTGAATATTTTTGGACACAACGGTCGCATCCAAACACAATAGTTTATTCAACCACTTCTCAATAGGATCGTTTAGACCGTAACGAATAGGTTCCTCGAGCTTGATTTCTCTGAGGACCCGACCACCCGGTGATATTCCATTAGCAACGGACGCAGCATCTTTCTTAACCTTTCCATCCCGATTAACGGCGGACACAACATCATTGGAGTCTGCCCGACCTTCCTTTCCGACGAATCCCCTTGATTGCTCGCGGAGCTGATGAATCAATTTGAGGGATAAGGATCTACCAGTACCCTCATACCCATTTATGGTTGATGCCATGAACACTAAATAAGGGCCGATAAGATTTTTAACAAGCGGTAGGGGGATTGCTGCCGCTTCGTCGATTACTACCAGTTCGGCTTGACCCAACACATGTGCATCTTGCGGTTGAATATACTTTCATAAATGCATAATATTAGTAAGGATCGTTCCACACTCACCCTATAGGTAGTATCAAAGAATGTACGATTCATTGCTTACTTGAATTGTCTGCCGATGTTGCTTAAAGATATTGACTCTGACTATGGCCTTGTTGAAATCAGGGTTTGTTGATTGTATTATATCATAATCCAGGTGTTCTTCATACTCCAGAGCATCAAATCCTTTGAATATGAATTCAAACAATGTTTTCAAGTTTTCCGGACTCGGCGACGTGACGAAAATGTTGGAATACCCGTAGCTAACAGCTGCAGCAATTGCTATTCCAAGAGCAGCTGATTTACCACGACCACGGGATGCTGTAAGCGTGACCGTGCTACGCAACCTTTTTTCTGATATTGCATCAACGAAAGTGAGAACAGCTTTCCCTTGATCAAGTGTCTTAGCAGTAGCAACGAGGGAGCCTACAGGCTGAGTATCTGCCAGCGAAGCTTTTAATTCTTTAAGCTGAGCTTGCTGTTCTGAAATTGATTCTTCAGATAAATTCAGCGGTAATGGCTTCACATTTTTTCCTGCGGATATTGGCAATACGTTTAATTCATCATCAACTACAAGACAATTTTCACATGATCCCAAGGAGAGGATAAACCTTTCATTGAAACGTGCAGTCACGTCATCATGTGCTTCTGTTCGGTAACGAGAATGGACATCCTATGCAAAACAACCAGCTTTAATATTTTTTTAGGAAAAGAGTTCTCAATGTGCATGCGATACTACCATAGTCAAAGTATACAACTGTTTCAGAGATTTCATTGTCTTGAGCAATAAGACTATGACACCACCGCCTTCCACTGTCTCAATGGTACGTGCTAATAGATTTGGGGTCAAGGCCTCGAAATCCTTAAAGAATAGAAAATTGTGAATAGTAGGTTTGTCTGAGAAGTAAAAATCCCTCTTGTTTAACCAAGCATACCTGTAGCACGCACATTCCATACGTGCTGCCCAATATATTATGTGTCTCTTTATAGTACGTGTATCGAATGTTGGTTACTGAGATAAAGAGTTCAAAGGGATCTTCCTCATTAGGCTCCCTTATTCCACGTTTTATTTCTTTTCGAATTTTCGCTTCCCTTTTCTTACGGTGACTACGATGAAGAATAATGGATCGTTAAAGTACTTACTTAATAACAGGACCCGAGGAAAGTTTATCAAACAAACCTAGTAAAGCCTAATTCTTTTTTATAACACCATAATACCGAAGGACGTGCGGTGACTTGAGCTTGTGAAAGTATCCAATGTAAATTAACTACCTTTAAAGAATGCAAATTTCGTTACCGAAATTTAAAATATTTTCGAACTCTGGCGCTTGAATGTTAGCATACCTGATCCCTGCCCTTATCGCCAACAATGACAATAAACGAACGATGTTTGCTTTGCACACCATTTTTTATCAGGGTGGGAATTCTCGAATCTATTACTTTCTTAACCATTTCACCTTAAGGAAATACGTTGCCAAAAAATTTTGAATTTGTAGATTATCCACTATTAACAAAGGCATCATCCAATTAAATTACAGTCATGCTCATAAGTAACTTGTACAACGTAATGACTATATAATGCAAGTTCTGATCACCATGTCAATTATATCATAGTGTAGACGTTCGTTCACTTTGAAGATTGCGTTGCAAAATGACACTTCCGCTTCATAAACGTTATGAAATTGCCTTTTTGCACCACCATCCAAAGGGTCCCAAACTTAGTTATCAAGAGATCGCGAAGATAGTTAAATGTAGTAAAAATACAGTGGCTTTTTGGGCCAATTTATGGACAGAAACCAAGGACTTATCTAGTCTTCCAAAATCAGGTCGAAAACGATGCACTATTGCCAAAGAAGATGAAAAAATTATAAAACTTGCAAGAACCGAAGAAAATGCTACGAGCCTTACCATTCAACAAAAAATGAATAAAGAAGGGGTTTCTGTAAGTGCACGAACAATTAGACGCCGACTTAAAGAATTTGGAGGAAAATATAACTAGCCAATCTATAAACCATTGCTTACAGATAGGCATAAAGAACAACGGCTTCAGTGGGCGAGGAAACATAAGGATTTTGATTAGGAAAAAGCTATTTTTACGGATGAGTCAACCTTCTGTCTATATCAGCCAAAAACAAAGGTATGGAACTTTCCGGGAAAAAAATATGTATTTTGGACCGTGAAGCATCCAGCAAAGGTTCATGTTTGGGACTGTTTCTCGTACTTAGGTTTTGAAAAGATAATTTGCTTTAGAAATAATCTTGATGCGAATTTCATGTGTACTATTTACAAAAGAGATCTCTTACCTTCTGCCGAAAAATTTTTTGGATGGGATAATTTATACTGGTTTTTGCTTGAGGATAACGATCCAAAGCATAGATCAAAAATCACTAGCGAATGGAAGATTAAGAATAATATCAAGAATTTACCTTGGCCAGCAATGTCTTCGGATCAAAATCCTATCGAGAACGTCTAGCGGATTATGAAATTACGATTAACTAAAAAAAAAATCAAACCAATTAGTGGTTTAACAAGAGAAATAAAAAAAGAATGAAGTATTCTTTCAAACGAACTTGCCTTAAATTTGGTTGACAGTATGGATAGGCGAATTTTATCTTTAATTGAATCGGGAGGGACTATACTTTATATTGATGATCAGGGTTTGACCTGATATTTATAAAAAAATTAAAAAAAAAAATAAACTTTTTTTATTTTTAATTAATTTAAATATATATAAGTTACTTATGAGCATGACTGTATTTAATTGGAATCTACACTATATACATAGAGAGACCTATTACAGGTCCTATTTATAAAAGTCCAATATACTGTAATTACATGGATAAATAATAGTTATATGGTTAATACATATTTTATTAATAATATAAATTAAGATAATTAGTCATATTTACTAAACTATATAATGCTCTTGATAAATCTTGAAAAAGATTTTAATCTTTATTATTATTATTATTATTATTATTATTTTAATCCACAATCATGTCGAAATGACTTGTCTTTTTAAGATACTTGAGAAAATATCAAAATAATTTATAGAACTTCTCATATAATGACTAACTCATCTTTGTACATTATTAGTTGAAGGATTATACTACTTAAAAAATATGAGGTGTCTATTAAGCTAGTTTGGATTAAACAAAATTAAATCTCAACTAAGTACTTTAAGTCAAATTTAGGGAACAATATTATATTCTTCTAGTAGCTTGACATAATGCCTCTAAATTAATCAGGGTCATTATTAATAGTTTGTTACTATTAATAATTTTAAAAAATAATAAATTGTTAAAGTTGAAACTGAAAAAAAGAAAATAAAAAACAATTTAAAGCCCTTTAAAAGATTCTTGCTACATTTTACAACCTTTTCTCAAAAAAGTCTTGCCTGATTGAAATATTCTTCTTTATATTATTTGAATCTTGAAAAAAATCTTCTTTATTATTACCTGTGGCATTAGATAAGTCTTTATTTAAGCATGTATCAGATTAAAATAGTTCAAGAGAAACTAAAAAACCTTAGCTTTCACTTTAAGAAGTTTTTTCATCACTTGAGAAACTTAAAGAAAAAATAGAATTTCTTTGTATAGATCTACCTTACCTTTTGATATTATAACTATTTCTTGAGATCAAATATATACAGTTAGAGAGAAATTTCTTCTAAAACTTTTTTCTATATTATCCATGATATGACAGGAACATGTGAATATAATCAATAAAAACTTGTTTATTTTTCTTGAAATCAATATGTTTCATGTTAGCCAGTCACCTTTGATAAGAATTTATACTATTCAAAATTCAGGGTCAAATTGAAGTAAACAGAATTCTATAAAAAATCATGAAAGTGATAGCTTTAAGAAATTCATAAATAATTAGAAAGAGAAAAAATAAGCCTTTCTATTATCAAAAATCTCTATATATTTCTTACTTCAAAGGTAAAAAAGGTCTTTATATACTTTATTATTAGTTCTTTTTTCTTTGAAAACTTTTTTGTCATTGGTATCAAAGGTATTACTTGATTTGTTCTTAATTATTAGAAATTAAGTTTTTGATCCAAGAAGATTATAAACAAGTAAGAAATAGTATATGTGACTCTTGAAATTACTCTTTAAGGGATTTTAAGGAAAGTGTTTAAGACTTTTTAGCAAAAAAACAAAAAAAAACTTCTTGTAAATATCTTTTTTATATATAGTAAAAGAATCATCAGAAAGAGTTTTATCTTTTTTATTATTATCTATGATATTATAAATAAATTTTGTTAAATATATTTTTTATTTAAGTAGTTATTTTTGAAGGTAATAAAAATATTATTTAAAAATTTTCTGATTATATTTTTTATTTAAAATAATTTAGAAAAACAATTCTTTTTATTGATTCTTTAATCATATATAAAAACAATATTTACAAGAAATTTTTATACTATTTGTTAATAAAGTCTTAATATTTTCATTAAAAGAACTTGAAGTATAACTCTATAAGTTGTTTTTATACTTTTTCTCTTATTTACAAATTTCTTCATTCAAAAACTTGATTTTCAGTAATTAAGAAAAGTCAATTAATACTTCTGATATCAATGATAAAAAAGTTTTCAAAGAAAGAAAAACTAATTATAAAGTATTTGAAGGTTTTTTTAATTTTTGAAATAAGATATTTATAGAGATTTTTTATATAAAAAGACTTATTTTTTTGACTATCTTGACTCTCTTAAAACTTTACTTTCATGATTTTTTAAAAAATTTTATTTATTTTAGTTTAATCCTAAATTTTGAATAATACAAATTTTCATCGAAGATAATTGATTAATATAAAATATATTAATTTTTAAAATGTAAACAAACTTCTATTGATCATACTTGTATTATCAGGAAATTTTTTTAATGAAGAACTCCAGAGATCTTTACTTGTTAAAAAATTTTCAGAAATTTTCAAAAATTTATAAAACAAAAATAATTTCATTGATTTTAATAATAAAAAACTTCAAATATTTTTTATTTCAAAAAATTTCAGAAATATTCAAAGTAATAATATGTATATTAAAATAAATGATTATTTAATAAATTTTTGTTACATTTATCAAATCTTGGAATTATATGAACTATATTATCTATTGCTCCTATATCTACTAAATTATATATATTTGT